TTTGATTAATGTTTGGATTAAATCCAACTCCTCAAGGACCAAAAAGTCCAGAGTATAAGGAAGTCCATCCACATCTTCCAGACGGCCTTGTCTCTCGTCGTTGATGTAGAACTCATGGTAGGCAGCCTGGATATTGGAGAGCTCTGTCCATATGGTAGAGAAGAAAACCGGGCTCTGGCCCGTCATAAGAGCCGGGAATACCATTCGGATCTTCATCAAAGTCTAACAGAATCATGTATGGTCAGCATAAGGATCGTAGAACATTCAGTGTCAGGAGTATGTACCTTGACTGCTTGTAACTTGAGCCCAATAATACCTCTCCATTGCGAAGGTATTTCACCTTCCTTGCGTTCTTCTTCCTCATTGGGAGCCTGCGGCAAGGGTGCCTTCAGGGTCGAGACGAAGAAAGGAAACCAGCCGCCAAGCACCTCGTCCATAAATTGTTTGACCGCAGTTTTGTGTTGCTCGAGTACCATCTCCAACGTATCAAAGCACGAGCGGAACACCGCGACAGCTAAGGCTCGCAGCATAGGTTTTCTTGACTCATTAGTTGCGACGTTAAACAATGAGGTAAGCAGATCCCTAGCAACATTAAAGAATTGCTCTTCGTTGAACCCTGTATCTACCAGGTCCAAGAGTACCTTCAATGCACCATGCAGAGCGCTAGCTGTGCTGTTGACATCGTTGATGATCTGAATGATCGTAGGAAGGAGCTCTGGCCATTGCTCGGGGAAATCGGCGCTGGCAATCTTACTGACCGCAAAGCTTGCAGAGGATTTAACTTTGCGTTCTGGGGTTTCTGTGACAGTAGCCAGATCCAGTAAGACTCTGCGAATCTGAGACTTATTCACATCACTGATCAATATTCGGCCCTTAAACTCATCTAGATTCGGGGACCAGGCGGCAGCGATGAAGGTGCGCAGTACTGATAGGGCCGACTGGCGGAGGTTGGTAGGAACGGAATCGTGAGAAGCGATAGCGGCGAGGGAAAGAGGAAGGTTCTCGTTTGAATAGAGACGAAGCAGTTGAAGCTCAGCAGATTTCCTCGTATCAGCGACCGGGGATTGCGTGTCCGCAAGCAACGATAGGAGCTCTTGCTCCATGGTGGAAGGAACCGGTACTTATCGAGGCGGAAGGCTAGTCTAGTTGATAGAAGGCAGTCGGTTACGACTTGCTGGAAGGGATCAAGTTCACAAGAATTGAGCCAATCGTCAATACAAACCAGGCTCTCTGTACAGGCCCTTGTCCCCGTTGGTGACACTGATAGGTTTTGGGAGTACTGTCACTTATCCGACACGACCGCGAATTGACGCGTTGTAAGGAGGGGCAGATAATAGAACTAGGCAGAAACGAAGGCGGTGACTGGAAGTTCGTGGGAGCGAACTAATAAGTGTGATAAAGACGGTACCCGCCCGATAGCGGGTGACGGAAAACCATGGGAACGAAAGTCTTCTTTACTAAGGGACCTCTTCTGCACAAGATAGTTCTTCATTGGAGTACCGACCTGAGGTCATTAATTGTTTCCTTTACTCTGTTTATCCCCCTTTCTCTTTCGTTTCATTGCAATCTCTCATATCTGCTTATCCCCTCCTCGTAGATAAAATGAGAAAAAAGCAGGTTACTTCCTTTTACATCAGAATGGATAATCTTTTTTTATTGAAACGACCAAATTGTATGTAATGAACTGGTGTCAATACTTGAATGCTTATGGAGAGGGAACGCCGTCACACAGTAGCAATATCTGACACATGTCTATTGATATAAAGATATCCCTATGGAAGTGCAGAAGAACTAAGAGGTCTTTAAGTGCTGTACTTTTTTACTTTTTCCCCTCGCGTTTTGTTTTTGGCAGGTGCAAAAAGGATGAACCTCAGCAGTGTATTCTATGCTGGTCTGACGTAGATGGCTGAAATTCTTTATTGCAAGATGGACGTACTTGGCAAAATAGCAGAAGATCATTCGGAATGGCATAATCACAGTATTATTGTGCTACCCGCTGTGCTGCTCAGACTACAGAGTAGGGCGGAAATCGTACGTAACTGACCATTCCCATAGGCGATTGTAGTGGGGTTCATCAAGGGTAGTTCGGCATAACTGTATCTTCCACTTAGATGGTTCAACTGAGGGGCGAATTCCTAGGAGAATTGTTAGTAGAAGTTTGGATGTGCGGAGCAGGTACCGTACATACATGGGTAAGGTACTTGGTAGATCCCTTGTATGTATGTACATACAGTATGGTTGATACCATACAGCGGTCGTCTCAGGTACGTTATATACAAACGACTACCTAATTATCAAACATCGGAAATCAAAACTCGCTCTTCATGCGATTACCTTCTTCTCCCCTTTCACCTTTCTTTATTACTGTCGATTTTTGCTTGGCTTTGACGCCAAGGGATTAATTTCAAAGGAGGAAAGCTATAAGATCTGCAATAAGTTAGGTATGTACATAGTACGTAGTTACCTTTCTAAACAGTAACTACCACTCAATCCAGATCCTCTGCATATCTAATCAGCCAGGAGCATGAATGCTACCAGTAATGGGATTAATTCTCTAGTAGTACGGTACTGGATTACTTTTCTATGCAATACGATCAAAGTACTCCATACTATATCGATGTAATAAAAGCAAGGGGCATGGAGCTAATGAAGAGACCGGAATGAAACTAAGGCTAAAACTGAGTAATAGTTGATGCCGCGGCGGTATTACCATACTCTTTATAGTCTGTACCAATAGTTATTAGGATCTATTCTTAATAATATAAGTATTTCATCTCGCTTGATTTCTCCCACCCCCCTTAGTATTTTACTTAGGCAGTCCTTTTAATCTCCCCTTCTACTAATTGACCAATATGTAAGAGGCTCACTCGGTGTACGGGTACTGCAGAATGAATATTACCACTGTTCCTGCTGTTACCTACGTGTTGATTCAGGTTTCGCTTTTACCAGAGTCGAGATGATCAACTAAGTGGACTGGAGCGACTCATCCCACCCACTACACTTTCACTAGATGGTAGGGACTAATCTGGTGGGGAAAGAAGAGAAGCACTTAGAAATATTTAGTGCGGTAAAGTAGACCACTGTACGATGCAGTCTGTAGTGAATCTTTGAGTCAGCATGCTGTACAAGGTCGTATGTGTCACTATGTATGTACTTCGTAGGTATTATTGTCTTGGATACAGGCGTGAGGGTCATATTTAAGCTATACGGAGTAGTGTATAGATTTATACGAGGGAAATCGGTGATGAGCATACCGATGCCTCTTTTTGTTTCAAGCTATTCTTTTTCTTAATCTTATTTGATTATTCATTTTAATATTGATGAAAGAGAAAAAATTGTATTCGCCATCGACACGTCTGTCATAATGATGCATAATGCAAACTTTTTGCCATCTCTTGTCATAGCGTGTGTTTTTTTTTTTTTTTTTTTTTTTTTTTTTTTTTTTTTTTTTTTTTTTTTTTTTTTTTTTATGTTTTCCGGGTTCTCCCCCCATAGGGAAGTATAATGGATGTATGTACTATGACATTATTTCGCCTTACCCATTTCCTTTTTTGGTTTTCAATTTTTATTTTCTAGGAGGATTTGTTCTGCTTGAATGTTCTGCAACGCATCCACACCCATGACGCAACCACGTGACAGGTTTGGAGTCCTGACTTGGGCGCCTTTCCCTTGACGACTCTTGACCGTCGCCCGACAAGCCTTCCCCTCCGTATGACTGCTTTGCCTACTGACTCTTTTGTCTCTCTCTTCTTTTTTCTCTCCCTTCAGTTGTTGTGCTTTGCTTGCGTGTGCTTTATTCTCCTCGCTCTCTTTGGTACCTCTCTCGCTTTTGGGACTGAGCAGTTTTTTGCCGTACTCGACTCCATCCAAACCCAAAGCAGAGCCCACCTCTCCCTTCCACCCGCCAAAGGGTTGGTTTTCCTGTTGTCTGCCCGCCTACACTCACTCTCCTCTCCCCAGACGGGTAAAAAAGGGAAATTAAAAAAAAAAAAAAGGGAATATAATTTTTTTTTCTAAGTTCCCTTACGAAAATTTATTTTTAAAAGAAGGTTTTCAGGAACAAAAACTTCCGAGGGAGAGGGGAGACTAAAAAAGAATAATAACTAAGAAATAAATTCCAGCCAGGGCAGAGAAAAAAAAAGAAAAAAAAATAAAAATAAAGGGAAATAATATTTCCCTATTATCTCTTTTATCATCCACGCCATTTTCCTTCTTTGAACGCATCTCAGATTCTGTCGCCGATTGTCACGACCTCAAACGACTTTGCATCCATGCTCTGAGGCTTGCTTGTTTCGTCTTGTCCACCCAACGTATGTTTAATCCGAACAGTACTTCCTTACCTTGACTTACAAACCACAATCCACCGACACCCCTCCTCCCTCCTCCCTCTTTCCCTCCCTCTCTCTTCCTTTCCCTTTTCTCACCTTCGGACAAACACCCATTCCATCATCCACTTTATTCCTGTTGGGCTTCCCACAATTTTCACCCTAATTTGGTGTACTTCTTTCCCATCTTCTTAAAAAAAAAGCAAAATTTATACTTGTCATTTGATTTAACATTTGTTTCTTATCTTTCGCTATCTCCGTCTTTTTTCTTTTCTTTTTGCTTTTTACTTTTTCTTTTCTAGAATAAACTCTCTTCGATCCTCCTCCCCTCCCTCATTTTAACCACACTCAACTCGAAACCCCCATATATTCCCCCCCCCCTCCCCACTTTCCCTTCCCCTCTGATTGTCGCAGAAGCAAAAGTCAAAAGAGAGAGAGAGAGGGAGAGGGAGAGAAAAGCCTCCAGATCATTTCATGCGTGGCAGAAAAGACAGTTGTTGACCCATCGTCTCGAAAAAGGCAGAGCGATGATTAGCCTCAGGGTGGAACAGCACTCAGATTCTCCGAGACCCCGTCAAGACCATTTTTTCCGTGGAAACGACGACAGCAGAGCCTTCGACGGCAATGCCGATTGCCAGTGAGAGCAGCACTACCGTCAACCCCGTGACTACCACCATGACAACATTTTCCGCCCCAGTAACCGCACCTAGATCGATGCCCAACAATCAGTCTGCGTTGGCGGCATCCTTCACCAATTTCCTCACCGTTTCAATACACCAAATCTTATTTCTCCGTTCGGTCTATCCTCGAGCGACTTTTTTGCCCGTTCGGGCCTACAACTATCCGGTCCGACAGTCCCGTCACCCGAAAGTGTGTGATTATATCAATGACGCGTCAATTGCGGTCGGGACAGAGATCTTGAAGGGCACAATCACCGCAGTCAGTATCATCATTTCATCTCTCCGCACCAACCAGCCCCTCGAGCGATATGCTTTTGATCTGTCGGGTTTCCCCCGCGTCCCCGCTGGAGAGATCAATACCACCTTTGAAGATAGAAAGGAAGATTCATCCAAACCAGGTGCCCCCTTATCGGATCGGGGTTCCGCTCCTCCGCCAGTTGACCTCGAGGCGCAGTTTCGTGCCTGTCTCGCCAGATTGGCCTCCGCTTGCGCCCGATTGACTCCTTTGCCCCGGGATGACGAGTTTAGCTTCACAGTCTGCATCGAAGTTCGGGAAGATGCCTTGCCCCCTGCGGGTACTACAACAGAAGAACAGACTTGGATTGTGGCCGAGCCGGGCAAAGTCCATCTCCGGTCGTGTACCGCACCGTATTCCGTTTCCAAACTTCGAAACGGCGAGCCACAGCAGCCTCCCCCCCGAGTATCGAACGGTCGCGCCAAAACGGTGCCTGTACGACGTGTAGAAGCCGGTGAGCTTCGTTTGGAATTATGGGTGGAAGAGGCACGACAGAAATTTAATGAGCCGGTGGATTCAGAACATCCCCCATGAATCTGACTTTCTGTTCAACTTGATTTTCTATATTCTCGCCTCTGTTCATCTAGTCGTTTCATTTTCTTTTTCCTCAGACATGTTTTTGCACCTTACCATCTTTTCTCCCGTTTATCTCACTCTTGTTTTAGCGTGACCAATGATCGAACATACATGATGGATGAGGGCATAGGGAATTGTCGTCCAAGTGAGTGGCGCAAATATATAAAATGGGGAGCGGACGATTTTTGGGACTCGCATGGCATTACATAGATCTGGTTCATATCTTTCATTTCCTGTTCTTCACTGCTCCGTCTTTTTTATCCGTCACGTTCCTTCTCCATCTGTTCCTCACTACCATCTTCTGTTCTTTTCTTCGCCTACCTTTCTTTATATCTTGACTACTTTTCTCTCCAATATGTTCTCTTTGCTCCCTCGGACTGTTTCACTTCCATACCATTTCCTCTTGTATTTCTCTCGTCTCCTTTGTCGAACACTCTCCTACTACATGATCCTAGCAAATTCAAATATCTAGCAACTAGCTACCAGACCAGTCCCCCGTCTTGTCAGCACCACCGTTAGTGAAGATCTTTCGAGTCCTGTCCTGTCCGTAATTGATAATATTATCCCCTTGATTGTGGCAGTCTGACATTTTTTGTGCTGTTCCTCTCATTTCATATGTGTTCTACATTTTCCTTTGCTCTTTTGGCTTACTGGTCCTGTCACGTTGAGTCTTGGAAAAGCGTTTCATTCTGCATGTAGCATGTCTTGATGCTTGGATATGGCTGATAATGAGATGCAGGCACCCAGAACTTCGAAGCAGGAGAATTTTAGACGAGATTAAAAGGACGATCGTGGCTATCCACACGTGAAACCTGGGTGGAAAGGTACATGTAACCAACTGGTGGGCTCTAGAAGGGTTTTCGCTTTTGTTCCTTGTCACCCAGAGAAAGAATGCCTGAAATCGATCATGAAGCGAACGTTTGCATATGTGAAGGGTGACCCAGTCCCCGATTCTATCTAAACCCGTGTTTGCTTCATTGGGAGGGTGAATTGTTCGAGTTTTGTTCTGCTACCTGGTACATACTGTTTTCTGCCTCTGTTTACGTCGTTCATTACTTTGTGATGATTGATGGCAATGAAGTTATTGAGTTAGACTACGTATTTTTGCATCCTTTTAGTCCATGTTTACTTCTGTATATATCGATCTCCAGTGTCTGATCTGACCTATAGTAAGTAGTTCCGAATGGGTAAAGAACGGCCCTAATGTAGACCAGCAAAGTCTAAATGTCTGTCTAGAGACCATAAAAATGCTAGCGTAGGTATAGGCTGATGATACTATAAGCATAAATGAGACATTCTGAAACAATAGGAACCGCACTAAGAGCCGCAAGTGGCTGGCGGGCTGTGGCTGCCTCCATCTATATATATGCGCCCGGTTTCCGTCATAGGTGGTACCCTCTTCAATTTGGAAGAGATCTGACATGCTACTACTTTTGGGCTTTGAATACTTATAGATAGACTACCGGCTGCATTGTGAGAAATGGCTTCTGTAGTGTTGTGGTGGCCGTCAACCGAAATTGAGGTCTTCCAATATCAGTTCCAATCTCTTGAGTTTGGTTTACCAACACTCTCTAGTAATTTTGCATCGCGATGGGGACCCATTTCCCATCTATAGTGGAGACCAGAGATTGTCAGGTGTAGTGCGTTCGACATGCATTTATATAGTCTATACAGTAGTAATTTGACAATTCCATGTAACAAAACTTGATCAAAAGAAAGTCCATGCTTAGCTTAAATACTTGCCAGAGCAAAAATAATCATTTACTACGCATACAAATTCCCCGGAAATAACACAAGACATCTGGCATTAACTCCGCAGCGGGAGCAGCCGCATACTACTTCTGCTCTACGTCATTTTTTATGGGAGTCGGTGTAGTCAGACCACCTGCTAGGTATGGACTTAGTTCTACCTATATGGGCATGCTAAGCACACGTCATCTCTAGATGTATATCCATCGCACTTTGCTTCATTGAGACGGGGAATGGCTGTTTTAGTCGATCTATACGATGCATTTCTGGGGAATCTAGTTACTTAGGACACTTACGCTAATTAATGCCTTACAGTTTGGGGATCCAAAAACATCGCAAGTTGCAGAGTGTGTCGCACTGGATGGTGTGGGTGATGGGGCAAAGACAGAGAGAGACGTGGTATAACTGGGTGATTAATAAAACGACGTATAATACAGCTGTCGAGAATGAAAATCAGGCCTTTAAGACCACTAGAGCGTGCCTCCCACGGCCGTAATAACGGTAGATCTACCCTGTCTGAATTGCCACGTTAATTTGCAGGTTGTATGGGCGAAAGGCCAGGATCCTTTCCTGGATGAAGGTTCGTCATGATAATTCAAATCAAGGCAGAGAAGAATCTTCCGGCATTAGGGGACTGTACATACTTCCACCAATAGCGCCTGTTGAAGGCTATAAACTAAAGTACATCTTGGATTTCCAGGTATGAACTGCTGTCACTACCTGGCAGGGTGTGGTTGGCTGTGCTGTCTCCATACTGGTACTCCACTTACCCTACAGTTCATAGAATCTATCCTCGATATTCATAAAACATAAAAAATCTATACTCATACCGGCTTAGGGTTATTCGTCACAAGTTGTAAAAAGTCGCGCTGTCTTTTTGACGATGCCATCGACGAAGGTAGCTATCCCAAATGGCCACAGCATGCCTAAAAAGCACAACCTCAACGTTTCCGAACACTGCTATGATACCAAATTTACGAGGCCATGGCCACAATCATGGTGCTGCGACAGACATATTTACAAGACCGGTTTATCTTGGTGAAGGGAGGAGATATAGTTTCAATTCTCAAATGCCTGGGAGCTAGGGACACTGATTTTGAACTCCTGAAATCGATTACCGACCAGACAGACGCTGATCCAACTCTTGATATTGTACTGCATCTTTTGGTCGCTACTATATTGGCTTTGAGACAGGAATTATTTAGCAGTTAGAACAGCAGCCATACATACTCACTGTTCAAGAGAACTATAAGCGATATGATTCTGTGAAACTACCGCAGTCCAAGCGCTGACGATGTTCAAGGCATTGGTGTTCTAAAATGTACCAATAACCCCGCGTGACCAGCTGGACTACGCCTCGCAGAGCTGGGTCTGCATGACGTTCAATAGTCGAGTATTCACCAACGTCTCAAAAAATCATCGGGGAACCGGCTCTTGAGGGGATATTCACTCTGATGGATCGGACCACACGATGTCAGTTCTTCTGAAATGCGATGATATGAGGCCTGATAGTCCAGTCACTTTCCTGCACGAGAATAGAGAGACAACGGGGATGCCTGTCTCAGAAGTGGAGCCGGCCTTCGTCAAAGCACGGGTCCAGAATCGTCACTTTCTTGAAACACTAGTCTTTGTTGATCATGATTACAAGCATAGCGTAACGTCACTTCACCCGCTGTGTCCGTCATCAATTGCAAGTCGTGGTGTGCGAGTGGTGTTTACTCGCCGGCCAAAGATGGAGGAGCGTATTTCAGGAGATAGTGACTCGATGGCTCTCCACGCCGAATCTCCAGTGAAGATTCCCTTATGGCTTTCAATATATGCGACTTCATTCAGACTTTGCAGGGTTGATAAATATGGGTGGGCAAATTGTAGTGATTTCATGTTTTTGAGTGTCTCTCCGGTTGATATGACTACGTTAACATTCTGATTGGTTATTTCCACAGTAAAGAGATGACCTAGAATCTCAGGCAATTGACTCTCAGTGTGACAATCTAATAAGAAAACCCACTTCGGCCATTGCTTGACAGTTACTAGTTACAAGCCTTGACGCCTGTTTGAGATCATAAACTAGCGCACGTACAACATTTGGGTTGTAGGGGGTGGTACTTTCAAGACCAAAGGGAAATATCTAGGCCAAATGCGCTTTAGATTTTGAATGAACGATGAGTTCATAGCGTAGGGGCGATGAGCGTTCGGTAAGCGACATAGGTGTTCTCGTTGTAAAAAGCATTTTCAAAAATCTGAGAATCAAAGAACACTGACTGTAGAATGATTGAAGAAGGATGTAAACAACTGCGTGACTCCTTAAGCCTGCTGTGGTTGCCAAAGCGACGATCTCATTGGTAGGGGACTTGTGGATTATATCTTGATTAGAGAGGGAATGTGCATGCTTTCCATCGCGGATCACGCTGCTCAATCTTTGGTTCCAGGAAGGCACTTGTACAAGGTACCCAGAGTTTGCCCGCTAGACCTCTTACACCCCTGTGACCTCAGGTGTGATCCAGACTCGGCATTCAGTCCCGTCTCTAGTCTCAGAAAACGGTTCTCAGAGGGCCCACAACTACTTTATTTCTCCTATTCCTGGTGTGATTCAACTTTCAAATATGGACCAACTGAGCATACATACGTCCTGTATAGCGACGGGAACACCGATGGACGCGAACGAAGCGCTTAAAGACTTTCATCGTGACTACCCTCACATCATCTTCATCAGATTACAATGGCAGGACTACTCAGGAGTAATGCGTGCACTTGTTTTACCAATTGAGGAAATCTACATCATACTGGCGGAGGAGACGCAGCCATTCCATGTGCCTCCCCTCCTGTCTAACTGCTCCGTCACAAACCAATATCTTCCTGATGCAAGCGCCCGCCATGTGCAATGGCTGGTCCCAGACTGGTCTTCTATGCGACTAGCGTCCGAGCCCAAAAGTGCAATGGTGATGTGCGGAGTAGTGGGGACTACAATATCTAAGCCGGTGCCAAACGGAGACCTGTGTCCCCGGCGTGCGCTGGTGGATGTCGTGCGACAGGCGCGGGAGTTGTGGGGCTTGAGGTTCCTCGTCGGTTTCGAGGTTGAGTTCCAGGTGATGAAGATCTCGTCCGTGACAGGGGAGTATGTCAAGCACAGTCAAGGCCCAGGGAACTTTTCTGTGTCTGGCCTGCGGGATCCGTGCTACCGCGATGTGCAGCAATGCGTGCAACAACTATTGACGCTAGGGGTGCATATCCATGGAATACATTCGGAGGGCAAACGAGGGCAGTATGAAATCGCTCTGAAACCTCTACCACCGCTGCAGGCCGTGGATCAACTACATCTGGTGCACGATTATCTCAAAGATACCTTTGCCCAGCACGGCTATATGGTCACCATGGCACCGAAACCTGTAATCTCGGATCCACATACCATTGGACAACATATGCACCTCTCGTTGGAGTCTGTCAATGACGACCATGAAACGTCTTTCCTAGCCGGCATTCTCAAGCGTTTACCGATGATTTGCGCCTTCAGTCTACCCCACACGCTTTCTTACGAACGACGACTCCCGTTCTTGGCTGGGGAGACGGTATGCTGGGGAACTGAGGCGCGGATAGCGCCTATCCGGAAGATCGAGGCCAGTCATTGGGAGATAAGATGCATCGACGCAACTGCCAATATGTACCTGACCCTAGCTGCAATACTCGGCGCTGGATTGCTCGGTTTGGAAGGCCAAGAGCCTCTCCTTTGGCCAGACTTGGGCGATTTTACAATGGAATCCAAGACCTGGGAGGAACCGTTGCCTAGAACTCTGCAGGAATCGGTGGCATGGCTGGCTAGGAAGGCTGACGACTTCGGTACCATATTCGGTCTACCCTTGATACAGCGTTACATAGAGCTGAAGCAGTTCGAAATATCTCAAGTTGGAGGAATGGATCCAGTGAGGCTGAGAGAACTGTTCATCGAGCTATTCTAACTTTGCGCTGTATGTGCGGAGCAAGCGAGCTTAGATGAAGGTTCAGCTAACTAGATCGGACTGCTCGGAAAAGACCAGCAGTGCTCGGTGAGAATCTGATACGTATTTTTCAAACATCTCCATGTACCCAGTTTACCATTCTTGTTCTTGTTCTCTTTATTCGTGAACTATCTTTGCTTAGGTTAATTTTTGTTTTTATTGAGATTTTCAGTGAACGGTAATGTAAATGGAGAGTATGTAGCTATTCTGACCAGTTAAACCAAAAACCAAAAGTAGATCAAAATGTAGATCAGATTATGACTAGACGTGAACGAAACTTTCGACCGAAATGTTCCATGCCGATGCCAAATTCAAACACAGAAATAACCAGGACGTAGATATGTAATAGATGTGAGACGCAGATCCGTCATCTTCTAGTACTCACTGCACTGTCTCGTGTAGTCGACGCTGCGGATATCAGATTACAGGGTTTAGCCAGTTGAGTCGACAGTAACGGATGAAATCCCAAGCATGAAATTCGAGGTATAACACCCATTCCAAAAGGTGCAGGGCCGTTCAATACATTGCAAGCATTAGTCCTGAATGTGGTATTGTTTTTGTTTTTTGAACGATAGATCTGAAGCCCGTAGTGTGCAACTACATAGGTCCGGTTTCTCAGAAGTTGTACAATGGGCCATCCAGCCACAAGGGCGTATTCGCGTTTTGGCCAGGCATAGTACCAGTATCGTAGTTACCTAGTGCAGGGAACTGCGGCTGCTTTAAGTTGCCTGTAGCCTTCGTATCATCAATATTCGTCGTTAAGGGAAATGGGTCTGGAAGAAAGTCTTTCTGCCGAGGTGGAATAAAGCCATTGGCGCCTTGGGTAATTGCTGTAGCAGCATGTGGATTCCATTGAGGCTCGAATGCAGGCAGGGGACGTTGAGGGCCGGTATAAGCGAATGTGGGTTCAAATGGAACAAACTGCGGAAGATTAGGGAATGCTTCTCTCGGCACTTGCATTCTTTGATAGCCTAGTTGCGGTAGAATATCTTGAATCTGGTTCGGCAAAGGCTCTTGTGTCTGCCGCCCCGTAGGCCATAGTCCTGGTTGAGTGCGTCGGGGCTTTGGCTTTGAACGAGGTTTGGTATCCCTCCTATCCATTCGAAGGTCTTCCTCCACCAAGTCGGGGTTTTCCCTCAAGACCTTGTCAATGGCTGTCCTCTGGGCTTGCTCAACTTCAGCCTCAAATCGCTTCGGCTTGCGATCATCGTGAGTATCGCAGTAAGTGGGAGGCTTGCCAAAATGGTCGTACTGTTCGCGTGAAATGTCCTTCTTGCATATATAGCACATCACACACAAGCACTTGCTGCAGGTCATTTTGTTACATCCCATATCTTTAATGATTTTAACGTTGCATTTGGGGCAGTTCCGTATCAGAGCCTCGCTCATTGCCTCTTCAACTACGTGGCGTGCGGGAAGTCCCCTATCTGTCCTTGTCTCATCGCAAGTCTTTGGTATGTGGCTTTTGCCTTTGCACAAACGGCAGCTAACTGTTTCACAAGAGGGATTGCAGCAGCGAAACTCTCTGTCTTCTTCCACCGGGGGACAGATTCCCTTGAAATCGCAGAACGGACAGCTTTCGAGTCCCTCTAAGCCGGCTTGCTCGACTTCATCTTGTTGCTGAAGGTCGTCCAGCTTCCCCATCAATGAGGAGCCCAACGCTTTCTTCAGATAGTCACGGGCGAATTTGGCCTTGCAATCACTCATGTCAAGGCACTCTAACTTGTACCTCATCATTCCGATTTGTGTCTCTGCAGTTTTTCGGATGCATCTGAAGCAGAAAAAGTGGACAGTTGCACCTTCGCAAGGAACCACTCTATTTGAGGGGAAGTCGGAATAGCAACACTGGCACTCCACAAGATTGCCTGACCGTGTGTGTTCCTCTTCATTGAATTTATCCGCCTCCTCTTCTTCCTTTCGCTTTCGGTGAGCAGCTTTCCGTATGGTCAACAGATTTTACGTTCTACTATGACAGCAACAAACGCTTACCAGTATCTTTCGCAGCCCTCCTTTTCGCAGCATTTAGTTCCGATATCAAGTCATGGTCCCACGTCCTCGTTAACTCCACGGATGGCCTTGGCCGCTTTAATCTGAGGTGTGGTGATTGTATCCCTGGGTAAATATACTCCTGATAAAGTGTTAGGTAAGCTGAATACAGTCCTTTCTTGCTAGAAATAAGTTGTCGGATCTGTGGAATAGAAATCCACAGAAATTCCTGTGCCAGTATGTCGCATCTGTAACAACGGTTAGCAAGCACATGCAGACGGAGAGCCAAGATGAACTCACGCTTGTTTACGATAATCATGAGCATCATGAAGCGCTCTAGGTATTGTCCAGTGGTCATCATCCTCATCTCCTTCTTTGGTCTTCCTTTTAAGCTTCTCCTGCTTTGGATAAGATGGATTCTCGAGAATCTCTTCGATAATTGTCTCTTTGACCAGGAACAACCCGAAAGCGATAAAAGGTGTATTACCGCCGTCGGCCGACATCGTATCCTTGTGTCGAGCTATTAGCTCCTCTACATATTGGTGGCTAATGTCAGGGAATATCTCCAAGATCTGGGGCAGCAATGCTGCGTCAGTAGTCGGCGCGGGAGTAGGGCCATCCAAGACCGTCAGTGCGGGGTTTGTGGTATGACGTGACGGTGTTAGGATATCATCAAGGCCTATGGGAAGAGACTCGTTAATCAGACCTGCAGTTTCCACGGCCGCACTGGGACAGTGGCTTCTCATTTTCTTTGCAGGTCTTGCAGCAGGAAGAGAAGGCTCGTTCCACTCAAAGCCCAGCTCATCGTTCTGCCCGTCGAGTCCACAATGCATATGGTGGATCTCACCCAACAGTAGTCTCTCATCGCCAAAAGGGACACTTAAGTCGTCGACAGTCTGGTTCCACGGGTATCCAATTCCCATGGGATCCCCATCCATCTTGGGTGATTTCAGACGGTTGAGGTGTTTTTTACGATGGCGAAGCTGCGCAGAGAAGATTTTAGAAAGGAACCGCATTATCAAGGTCAGGCAAAAAGAATGATCAATAAGAGATACGGAGCCCTGATTGTAAGGAGGAATCATGAACATGAGAAGGAACTCTGGTCAAGCTTTAATGGGGGTCATAGTGATGGAATACATCGCATCCAAGTACAAGGACCCAGTCATTATGACAAAAGCATAGCGCCACGGAAATAAACGGGACTTAAATGGTTTACAAAATTAAGAGAAATTTTCAAAGTGAATTCTGGTGGTCCAGATCGATATAACTTCTCCCACGGCATGAAAAGAAGTGTAAGACATCGAACGGAGCAGAACGAAACATACTTCACCTCAGGTGAGAAGCATCCACACATTAGGATCCTCTTTTCTTTTGCTTTCCTTTGAATTAGCCTTCACTCCCCTTGAAATAAGCTTTGAGGCCTTTTTCCTAGCACCGATCTGTATACTCGGCAGCAATATCCGTGGGGCTTGAAGAAGATCGCCCGAGTGGGAAAGGTGTAAATAGGGGAAGCTTAAACGGACGAATGTCGCGGTGGGGCTCTCAAGAGTGGACTCGCGGTTTACCCCAGAATTATGGTCTCATCATGGATTCTGGAGGCGAGAATGTGGTAAATAAGCTGACCGTCATACAAATGCCAGAATGGGGTCGACCAATTCACTGTAACAATGTAGAATCTAAACATATCATCCCATCAAGACAACAGCTCAAGGTAACAGTAGTTTAGTTATCATCAGGTGGTGTGTGGTGGGATCTCAGGTGAAAGCTTGCTGGCAGTAAGCTAGACCGCCTGCTGCTTTGGAAGATCGTACTGTGTATCTCCTCCGCATGGATGACTAATATCCGTTGATAACGTGAACCATTTTGAAGGCCATAATTTACCGCTAAGGAAACTGGGTGCTGTAGGAGTGGACTACAACCTGAGATATGGATCAATAAGATACCATCTAACGTAAGGTATTGTAAGATTAAAAGAAGGCGAAAGAGGACCACCTCAGGTGCCTGTCGCATATGATACATGCAATATAGCCGTTCAGAGGTTACAATTGGATCCCTTACTTTGTCTCCGCGCCCTCACTACGTCATGGTCTTCATCGTATAGCCTTTAGAGGCAGGTACATCCCCAGCTGAGTCAACTTTGTACCGCTTCGCATCGCTTGTCGTCGGCAGGCGTGACAAACAGAAACAATCCCCCGGCCAAAGGGGTCTTGGTCTCTACTATAACTACCCCCAGTTCTTTTGGTTCAATGATATATACATACATCTGTCCTCAAGAGCTATCTCAATTTAGCTCCAAACAGTTACCCTCGCCCGAACATCACGACGAGTACCCGTCATCATCTTATATAACCCCCCACCATAATATCATATCCGGCTTTGTTTCGCATTGGTGCGCTTGATTTGGAGAAAAATCGAACTGTTCGCATTGTGTCCATTATGATTGCTGCTGACAACTCCTATCTTGACAATGCTGCCCTGCCATCGGGCGAATCCCCGGAATTAGTCCTAGTGCAAGCGACACCGGAGGAACGTATCGCAGCTATAAAGCTGAATAGCCCAGCTTGGAAGGGTCCCTTGGACCTTGATGCGTATATAGCACGAGAGAATCACTTAGCCCAGCAAGCGTTGACCAAGGATGGCTTGACGAGTTGGTTGTTGGTCGTCCGAGGCCAACCAGAAGGCGAACGGACAATCCTTAGCTCCTGCGAGACATACAAAAAGAAAGCAATCTTGGCGCAAAACGGAAAAGTGGAACATGTGTCCGCCCTCAGTATCGGCAGTGTTTTCTGTCGACCTGAATTTAGAGGCAAGGGCTATGCGAAAAGAATGATGCAGGAATTGGTCAAGAAAATAGACGTGTGGCAAACGGAGCCCAAGGCCACCAACAGAATGCCATTCAGTTTGTTATATTCTGATATTGGAAAGAAGTTCTATGCTCAATTCGGCTGGATGCCCTATCCCTCTACACATTTCAGCCTTCCCCCATTGCCAAAGGATGAATATGATCGAGCCATTGTTCGGGGAAACCTTCCAAAGGCAAGGACCTTGGTTGCAGAAGATGTGCACCGTTTTATGTGCAACAATGACGTGGTTCAAAAGGAGCTAGATATCCTCCGCGTCGCATCCCAGAAGTCTGCCAGTGCCAAAGTAGCGGTGGCCCCAGACTTTGACCATTTTAAATGGCACTGGGCAAGGGAGGAATATTACGCAAAGATTCTCTTCAAGGACAGAGCACCGCCACTGATCAAGGGTGCAGGTGATGAACAGTCCAAAGTATACTGTGCGTGGAATAGAAACTTTGGTGAAACTCCAGAGGAAAACACTCTGTACATCCTGAGGTGGGTGTACGACGAACCAACTTCACCAGAGGAAACAGAAAAAACCGCAAAAGCCATGGCTGCAATCATAAGACGCGCCCAACTAGAGGCGCACGCATGGAATATGTCGAAGGTCCAGTTCTGGAATCCAACTCCAGTGCTGGAGAGGGCTGTTGCCATTCTAGACCCTACGGCGCAGGTCGTCCATCGGGAGCAGGACAGCGTAGCCTGCTTGAGGTGGAGTGGCGCCGAGCAAGGCAAGGACGTTGAGTGGCTCTGGAATGAGAAGTACGCTTGGTGCTGAATATCGGCCAGATTTGCATTTCTCGGCGAGTAATGCATGGCATTAATAGAGGGGGTGGCTATCTAGAGTAAACCGGCTCAAACATAGAGGCGACGCTCGAGCCCTCGCGGACTTGGCTTAGCGTTTCTGGCGTTTCTGGTTCTTGAATAACTCGTGCCAGTTTCTTGTCTTCTTGGCTGCTGTCGCAGCACTAGCATCTGTCGAGACATTTTTCTTTATTTTCTGGCGGTCAGTGCGATAAACGAAGCAGATCGTCGTGGGATCTGGGTGCTTGTATGAGTTTTCCTGCGTATAATGTCAGATACCGTAACCTCTAGGAAGCATAGAGATCAATGCAGCGAGTAACCAAGCTAGCAGGTGCTCCACTTACCGTCAATTTCGAGAATGCAACATCGTTCCGCCAGGACTCAGGGAGGAGATCCTTCCAAGCATTCAGAAATTCACTTCGACCGATGCCAGAAGCAGTGGTCGGCGCCATAGCCTCCAGATAAGTCTCTCCAACCCACTGCGTACAGCGTGCCCTATCAATACTAGCCCCTATATCCACGAAAACGTCAGTTCAAAGGCACATCCACCAATCCAACCCCTCCAGCAACGTAAAGAAAAAGATACTCACACTTCAGATCCTCGAACAAGCGCCCATCCCCAACCTCACAAACCCTCCTAACAACACCCTCAAGCAATGCCTTCGGGAAAGGCTCCTCCCCCTCATCAAGCACCGATCTCCACAAATCCTGCACCAAGAACTGTTTACCCAGATCAATCCCCTGCAACACAGCCCCCTCAACCAACCGTCTCCACACATCCAACTTGACTCTCGCCGACGGCCTCCGACACCAACCCGCAACATCCTCCCCACTACCCCCGCGCCCGAGCACAAACGCACAAAGCTCAATCCACCCCGCCTCACACTGCGCCCGCGACACAGGAACATCAGCAAAGACCCTGCGAATCACGCCCTCCCGTTGCTCCTCCTCCTCTTGCTGCTGCGCCGCTCCCTCCACCTCATCATACACAGGCAATATTCTCTCCAGGACAGGGACCGCCGAGAACCCCTCCGGCGGCGTATGTAGTTCAAGCGTCGACCCGCATTTCGCGATAGCGGTCATCGTCTCGACGAGGTTTAATTCGTCGTCATCATCGCCGCCGACGATGTTAATGTCTCCTCTTTGGACACCGGAGTCGCTTGGTCGGATTATGTGGATCGAGTTTGAGGATTGGACTTGGCGAACGAGGTAGGTTTTCGTCGGCGTGCAGAGGTTCACATATTCGCGGTTTTCGAGATCGGTAGTTGTCGTTGTTTGTTGGGGGATAGGGGATTTCAGTTCGACACTTAAGAATTTTTAGTCAGTTTGTTTCGGAGAGGTTCAAGTATTGTTGTAAGGATGGGGAGGATCAGCACGTGGCGTACGTTGGAGCTTCTTTCGATGTGAGCAGATCAGCTAGTTCGGGTGGTAGCTCGAGTAATTTGAATCCCTGCTGAGGGGTTGTGTGGGTGAAAAGAATGCTGGAAGCAGATTGAGTAGACATTATGATATTTTGATCTTGGTTCGAGTAGGGGTGGGGAAGGGGTATATTGACATTCAATCGGTATGCGATCGCAGATGTTATACCTATCGAGGGAATAATTGAAATGGTACGTTTGGACGCGATTCATACGCGCGTGCTGGTTCCCGACGAGATTGACGCACAGACCACTGCTTAATGAATTTGTTCAATGCCAGATCTAGAAGTCGACAAGATAAGACACATGAAAACCCAAGCCCTAGGGGACACTACAACATCTACATGAAAAGCTGACAATCAAAGGCAGTATATTCTAGTAAAAATGAGACAGCCACAATCTGATGGGCACTGAAGCTAGGGGCTAATGATGCGGAGTAAGTACGACGTAGTGGAGACACACACCACATGATGTTCTGGGAGTGGTCGGGGCTATAAGCAGAGGAATATGTGAATGGATCATCATAAGTCCCAATGTAGGTTGTTAAGTCAGATATATACCTATAGGAACAGCGTCACAAGCTCAAGGCAAAAAAGAAAAGAGAAAGCAAAAGAGAGAGGGGTAGCCCCCGGCGAGGCTCGAACTCGCAACCTTAAGATGGCTTGGAAGCTAGAAGTCTTACGCGCTACCATTGCGCTAC